GTTGTAGATGCTCTTATTAACAAAAGGAAGAAGTCCAAAAAAAAACCTCGAAGTTGTAGACGAAAGCTAAATCAAACCCTGAACTTTGAATCCCGGAAATTGGCACTATGAACTTGTAATCCTGGTCTATTTTGGACCCTAGATCTGTTTGGCACACCGGGAATACTACAATCCCGGCCGGGATAACCAGCTACTCTCACTGACAAGAATTTGGGCCGGCCCACTATAACACAACAAAAATTCATGAAGTTAAAAAATCTTCGCACATTTCTAAAATTGTTCAAAAGTTAAAAATTCTTCCTGTTTTATATTTTTGGCATGAATTCAATTCGTTTTGTGTTTTTAAAAAAAATATTTGGAATTCTGAAATTATATTCACATTTTTAAAAACTATTCGTAATTTAAAAAAAACACCTTTGTCAAAAATATGTTCAGAATTCCAACAGTTTTTCACATGCTATGAAAAATGTTCAGATTTTTAGAATTGTGTCACATTTCTTGAATAATATTTTGGGAAGTTCATAAATTATTTTGTAAATAATGTTTTGAAAAAATGTTTCGGATTGTTAGCTGCGGATTCGACTGGGACGGCTAACTAGACATAAAGCGAGTTAAATTTTTCTTATCACACACCTTAAAAGTTCTTTCTTTCTTTTTCTTAACACACGACATAATAATTCCAAAAGAGAAAAACATGCCTTGGAATCAAACTTTGGACCTTGCAAGGTTGACCTGATTTCGCTAGCCACTACACCAGACAACTATGACTTACATAATAAGAGGCCCAAAATATTTAATCAGAAACCAAAGCGTCGAACATTGAAAACTTTTTTTAGGGGCAAACAAGTATTGAAAACGTATTTATTTCTGAAATCTTCGCACATTTTACAAATTGTATTTTTGAAAATTTTGAATACTTTTGAAAAACCAACAACTTTCAAAAAGAGAACACCTTTTGAAAATAAACTTTTTTTAAACCTGAACAAAATTTTAAAGTGCAAACACTTTCTGAAACATAATTTTTTTTGAAACCTGAACAAAATTTTAAAGTGCGAACACTTTCTGTACAATGTAAAAAAATGTTTGTGTGTTGTAAAAAAATGTGTTATAACCTTAGCAAAATATACGTGACATGTGTTTCAAAAAAGTGTATGCAAATTGAAAAATGTCGAACCATGTAAAAGAGTGTTTGTGTAGTTTTATAAAAATGTCCATAATTTATTTGAAAATATGAAAAGTTTATCAAATATTTAATGTGTGCATTAAAATGTATATTGGCTACTAAGAAAAATTAGACATGTGTAAAACATAAAAAAGAAAAAGAAAACGTAAAAGAAAAAAACTATGAAAAAACAAATTAGTGTGCGCGCGTGAGCGGCTGTGCTACTGGGCTGGCCAAATTCAAGAAATAACCGCGAAGTCCTCTCAAGATTTAAAATAGACCAGGATTAGAGAGTTCAGAGTGCCAATTTCCGGGATCGAGAGTTCGGGGTTTGGTTTAGCTTTCGTGTATAACTTCAAGGTTTATTTTGGATTTTTTCCTTAACAAAATCGTGTTACACGGCTTCTTAAAAGAAGATAAGAAACTAAAATAATAAACGGGTCCCTAACTTTTATAAAGAGAACCACAACAAGCTGATGAAAATCTCAATCCGGTCCCTAGCATCTTCCACACGGATAGAGCAACTTAGAAGAATGCTTAATCCGTGTGCATTCGTAGTTCCGTTAGTATGGATGGCAGTTTTGCCTATGGGTATGGGTACCCACGGGTACCTTACCCAAAAACAATGGACATGGGCATGACTTGGAAAGATTTTGTACCCATGGGTAATGGGTATTCATACACGCAAAATCTATGAGTAGGGCATGGGTATTCAATTGCGCCCATGGATAACCCAATGGATACCCAAAAGAAATTAATAAATCAAAATTGTTCCTATGACATGTGGGGTAAGCATCTAACTCGTATGGCCCAACCCTAAATCTTGTATTCTCTAAACTAGCCATAGATGATAGGCCTGCAATTGCCTGCTCGACACTCCTCTGACGTCCTATGTAACTTCTTGAAACAATGAAATCTTGACTCATCACCATCGGACTCCTCTAAACTCTCGATCCAGTGACCCCCAATTCCACTGCTCATTCCCACTACATCGGGCCTCCACCAACCACTGCTCATATTTCCTTGATGCCTCCAAGAAGCCACCCGTCGGAGGAGATTATGTTGGTGCCATAATGCCCGCCCATATCACTTGAATTTCAGACTCATTTCTCCAAAAAAAATTCAACATTTAAATGCTATATATGGTACCCAACGGATACCCATTGGGTATAGGATACCCAATGGGTATGGGCATGAGTATTAATTTATGCCCATGAATATTGAAGTGGGTGGGTATAGAAAGTTTCTATGGGTATGGGTTTGGGTAGAAGGAGGTTGTACCCGCCCATACCCTACCCATTGCCATCCCTATCCGTTAGGTTCTAGCGCAGCGTCGGACGTGACCGGCTGGTGGCGCTTGGGTTCCGATCGATCCCTCGACACAATAGAAAAGGCCAGGATCAGCCACAAGCTTAGCCTATATTAGTTCTCCACGACTCTCAGAAACAAATGCCAAGATGGTCATAGCATAGCCATAGCACACTAGCAAAGCGTGTTTCACGCCTCTGCAAGCAACAAAACAAGGCGTTCCATGGAGAAGCAAAGGATGGCCATCGTCGGCGCCGGCATGAGCGGCCTCACGGCGTGCAAGCACGTGCTTGAGCGCGGCTTCCGGCCCGTCGTGTTCGAGGCCGAGGCGGACGCCGTCGGCGGCGTGTGGGCGCACATGCTCGCCACGACGCGCCTGCAGACCCCACGGCCGCAGTACGAGTTCACGGACTTCCCGTGGCCGCCGGAGGTGCCGGAATTGTACCCGAGCCACGACCAGGTCATGGAGTACCTGTGCTCCTACGCGCGCCACTTCGGCGTGCTAGAGTGCGTCAGGTTCGGCAGCCGGGTCACCGCTCTGGAGTACTCCGGCGCCGTCAACGAGGAGGAGATGATGGCGTGGGAGCAGTGGGCCGGCAACGGCGAGGCGTTCGGCAGCGGTCAAGGCGAGTGGCGGATCACCGTGCAGCACGGGGACTACGTCGAGGTTTGAGCAAGATCACTATCTAAGTTCAAATTTGGTTGTACCTCACCTCCAAGACGAGGCATTCTCGATCGTTCGCGTGCCACTATGTTTTTTTTTTCTTCCTTGTGCCATCCACGTTGTAGTCAAAAGCAAAGCCGAAACTAGAAACACAAAGCAACCAGATGCAAATTATATTTCATCTAAATGAGTTCTAGTAAAACTGGCAAATTAAAAAGATAAACCACGCGTTGTCGCGGGAATTTATAGCAATGAAATCATCAAAAATAAAAATAAAATATACTCCTAGAGGTAAAAATAGCAAACCTAGAGGTAAAAATAAATGGTGGCCGTTGGGACCTCGATCCTGGAAATATGCGGTCTAGGTCAACGAGCGCCAGACTACCTGGAGCTTGAGGAATGGCGGCCTGCTGCGGAGCGTCACCTGCCGAAGTAGCTGCGACGGGATTTGGCACACTCAGAGGGTGTTTGAATACGTTTTAGTCCCATGACTAAAAGTAGTGGGACTAAAACTTGCTAGCCTCACCCATGCTTGGATACAAATACTAAATAGACTAAAATGAGTTAATGAGCATTTATTATCCTCCAAACCCTTCAATCCTGAACTCGCATGTGTTAAAGGAGAGGAGTTAAATGAGGAGAGAGAGGACTAATCCACATTTTAGTAGGGTTTCCCTGACTAAATTTTTTTAGTCTCAAGACTAGTTCTACCCTCTTTTTAGTTAGGGACGATTGGAACTTTAGCCTTTAAAAAAGACTAATTTTAATCAGACTAAAAATAGTCCCATAGATTCAAGCATGGCCTCATGCTTCTCGTCAAATGGATGCTCTGGCTTGAGCGAAACGGCATGGTCTTCCAAGCCTCATCAAGCACCATACCCCAGTTCAGTGGGCAACGGATGGCGGTGGTCAGCGGCGGCACAGTGGGCATGGCGGTGACGTGCTGACACTTTATGGGAAGTATTACGGGTCAACTTCTCCTAAATGTACAGGAAGTTGGGCAGATTATATGAGATCTCGATTTATTGGAGCATTATTTTTGCCCAACTTTTCTTAAACTAGATACGTATAAGTTTATGGATATGGAACCGTTGAAGATACTCTAAACATGAGTAATTGACAAAAACTACCACATTTCACGTATCCGTCCCACAGAACTACCACATTTTGAAAACTGACCAAAAACTCCAGATTAGTGCTAATTTCGTGGTAAAAAACTACCAAGTCGAGTCGACGACCGATTTAACCATTTTAAACCCCTTTCTGACAGAGCTGGCCCACCTGTCGGGACGGCTGCCGCGCTAACGGCTAACGGCCCACACGTCAGCACCAACCTTCTTCTTCCTCCTCTTCTCCTTCTTGTTGGCATTTCCTCGAACACCTTACCAGCAGCAGAGCAGGACACTGGCGTCAGCTAAATCAATCGATGCTGCCACTCGCCGAGGACCTCCTCCTTGCGCCCCGGTGCATCGAGCCGCGGATCTGGTAGCCACCATCATCCCTGCACGCCACCGGCGTGGATCCGGTCACCACCACCGTCTCCATCATGCTGCACAAGCAGCAGGCCGCGGCACCGTCCAGATGCGGGAGAGTAGCAGCAGCATGCAGCGGCGTCAGTCAGATGTGGGAGACCAGCGACCGCGAGCCCCGACAGCGGAGGGTGGCGGAGGTATGCGCCGAAGCCCCAGGCGTCCTCCAGCATCATCATCACGGAGGCGACGCGCCGGCGAGACCACCTTGGCTTGGACCGGGAGGAGGGAAGCGACCACAACCACAACGCTAGGTTTTGGCCACGACCAGGAGGCGGACGACTGCTGCGTCGGTGAAGACAGCCGCCCTCCCGGCCGCTCTGGTTGGTTGCCCGCGGGTGGCTCGTCGCGCGTGACGGCATGAAGCAAGCATCACGTTTCGCTGCCGCGCAGACAAGGCCACATGAAGCAGGGAGCAGGAGGAGGAGGAAGAAGGTCGCCGGTGCCACAGGCTGCCGCTGCTCACCGGCGTCGATGCGTCGGCACGGTGGTGCTGCCCGATGCACATAAGGTGCTTGTTGAAATGTCAAACAGAGAAGAAGGGAAGGAAGAAGAAGGTTGATGATGACGTGTGGGTCCCATTTGTCATAACGGTTAACTTCACGGTCAAAATAAACAGAGTTGACTTTGCTGCCGGTCCCACATGTCATAAACAAGTTTAAAATCATAAAAACGGTCATCAACTCAATTTGGTAGTTTTTTGTCACAAAATTAGTATTAATCTGGAGTTTTCGGTCAGTTTTCAAAATGTGGTAGTTCTGTGGGACGGATACGTGAAATGTGGTAGTTTTTTTGTCAATTAGTCCTCTAAACATGCATATATGTTTTCCCTAATAATTAGATCCTTTTCTGAAAAAATTGTGGCTAGACTCAACGGTTTGCCTAACGTTGATCTTTTCTGGCATATCTAGACACACGTGGCCGACTTTGTGTTGCTATGCGTTGGACGGTACAGTGGCATCCCCAACATTCCAACTTTCCCGCCGGAGAAAGGGCCGGAGGCCTTTAATGGCACGGTGATCCACTCCATGGATTACTCCAACATGGACGATGCAAAAGCCACTGAGCTCATCAAAGGTAAACTCGTCACCGTCGTCGGCTACCAAAAGTCTGCTCTCGATGTCGCCACAGAGTGCGCAAATATGAATGGCCCAACACATCCTTGCACAATGATTATTCGGACAAAGAGATGGATCATCCCTGACTTATATGCTTGGGGTGCCCCGGTTCCTTTCTTGTACTTCAATCGCTTGTCCGAACTACTAGTTCACAAGCCAGGAGAGGGGCTGCTCCTTAGCCTGCTGGCTACCTTCTTGTCACCCTTGGTACGTATATAATGGCCACTGTATTTTTTATATGCTACTAAGGGCTCCTTTTCATGCATTAATTTAATTTGATCAGAGATGGATACTCTCAAAGTTTGTTGAGAGCTACTACATGTGGGCGGTGCCCATGAGGAAGCATGGCATGATGCCGGAACACAGCTTCTTCCAAGCTCTCAGCTCATGGCTGATTGCAATAATGCCGGACAAATTCTACGACAATGTGGAGCAGGGAAGCATTATCCTCAAGAAAGCAAACGAATTTATCTTCTGCAAAGAAGGTGTCATCATACAAGGCGAGCCCGTGCCGATCAAGAGCGACGTCGTGATCTTTGCGACCGGGTACAACGGGGATCAGAAGCTCAGAGAGTTGTTCACCTCACCTCTGTTCAAAGAGATCGTTGTTGGCATGCCAGCTACTGCGGTCCCTCTCTACAGGTTCCTTTCAACCCTTTCCCTTTCATTTTAGTCAACTGACCTAGTAGTTGATACGTATATCAATGCAGCACCATTAACTAACCGTAGTTCTTACGGAATGTGACAGGCTATGTGTTCACCCCAGGATTCCTCAGCTAGCAATCATTGGCTACTCAGAGAGCATGGGAGATCTACACACCTCGGAGATACGGTCCAAATGGCTGGCGCATTTCCTTGATGGGGCATTTCGTTTGCCTGCCATAAGATCAATGGAGGAAAATGTGAAGGAATGGGAAGCATACATGAAACGCTACTCGGGCGAGTACTTCCGTCGATCTTGCGTCGCTTCTGTCGGTATCTGGCACAACGACCAGCTGTGCAAGGACATGGGGTGTGAGCCTAGGAGGAAGAAGGGATTTCTGGCTGACTGGCTGATTCCCTATGAACCTGCAGATTACGCAGGTGTCAATCTGAGGAACTAGAATAACAACCAATTGTTTGTATGTCTGACGAACTGCGTCAAACTAGCGGTGGCTGCTGCAACATTGGAAGATTATCCCTTTGCATACTATATTGTTGTCGTGGAAGTAGCCCAGCTAATAAATAAAATCATGCTTATTCACCAAAGGCTAGTCTAGCGACATGTTTCTCGTTGAGTTGGCTTAAATGATGGAATTGTTATATCCTTAAGCCGCAACTTTGAAGGCCCGTAGCCGAAAATACAACTGTGAACCTGGGAGCGTGCGCATCCGAATTGAAAGATAAAATAAAATATAGTTAAATACTTTTAAAACCATTTTGCCCGGCGAGCCAATCATGGATTATGTTGATGAGCTACGTAATCTCAGATCCGACCTGTCATGGTCGTGTTTTCTTTTTATTTTCACCTTTACTTTTGTCTTGTACTCTTTTTATTTTTTTGCGGGAAACTTTTGTCTTGTACTCGATGACTTGAACTTTTTTCTATGTTTAATAAAATGATTGTGTGCATCTTATGATGCAGAGGCTGGAGTACTCTCCTTTTCAAAAAAAAAAACATACATGGTCTACATAAAACTCATGTTTAAATTTTTGGAACAAAATAAATTATGATGTATTCCGACCAAAACATGACATAATCAATGCTATATAAAAGTTACTTTTCTCTTTTTTAAGCTAGGATTTTATTTTTTTGCTCAGAATATGACATGACTCATTTTATCCCAAAACTTTAAACACGAGTATTATGCTAGACTATTTTGTCGTAAAAAGGTTTCAAGTTTTTTGACTTTTTCAGAAAAAATACTAAATCGGGTGTGCGTAGACTATGCCCCATAAATCCACACCGACCCAGCATACCACTATATTGTTGTTCTGGAAGCGAAGCAACCAATAAATAAAGGAAGAAGTCCAAAACAAACCTTCAATTTATAGACGAAAGCTAAATCAAAACCTGAACTTGCAATCCCGGAAATCAGCACACCGAACTATTTAATCCCGGTCTATTTTAAACCTTAAGGCTTTGTTCGGTTACACCCTGCCCTAAGAGGATTGGAGGGGATTTGGGGGGGATTTGACTTGTAGAGGATTTAATCCACCTTAATCCATGTCAAAACCCCTCCACAACCCTGTCAACCGAACATGGCCTAAGGGTGTTTAACTGGTATTCACCGACGTGGCAAGGATCATTTGTGGGCTGGCTGGACATTAGGACGAATTGGGCTGACCCATTAACGCAGTTGCTCGCACGCTCGCTCTGTTTTTCCCCTCTGTTTTCCATTTTCGTAATCATAATTTCTCATTTACGCACGCACTTGTCTTCTACCAGCCAACCACAACTCAGGTATTCTCGAAAAAAAAAGACACAACTCAGGTAACGAACGGCTGCACTAATTTTCGTGCCGAAATGTTAGAAGCCAAAGATTATATGGGAAGGAGGCATTATTAGGAGGGACAAAATTTAAGAGCAGCCATAGAAAATGAGTTTGACACTACTTGAGAACTCAGGACGTCGCACTTGCAGAGGCCTCACCTAGCCAATCGGATTGAAGGCTGCCAACGATTATATTTAGCGTGTATTTTTATATAAGAACAGAAATGAGTGTTCATATATGAAAACCTTTTTAGATTTTTTACGAAACATTTCATAAAAAACAGTAAACAATTTTGAAATACCGAATATATTTTTTAAACGCCAATTTTATGAAATTCCAAAACCATTTTTTTTGAAAAATGTGACACGGTAAGATGTTGCCATATGCACATTTAACATTTTCTTAATAACAATAAACAATTTATAAAACTATACAAACATTTAGAAAAATCTGCAGTTTCAAAATTTTGTTCCCCTTTTTTCAAAAAATGTTTATGTTCCAAATAGTGTTCACTCAAAATTGATTGTGTTTTCAAAAAATGTTCGGTTTTTTAAAAAGTATTCATAATTTTCAAAAGTGTTCAAATTTTAAAAAGATCGGAGGTCTAGAATTTGTTCTCACCTGCACAGTTTTAATATTTGTTTGCCCTGAAACAATCTTTCAAGTCTCGACGCTGCTGTACGTGGATAAATATTTTGAGCCTCTCAGTATAACAACAACAGCTAATGTTTCCGGTGGCTATCCTGTGGGAGCTTAGCAGCGGTAGATCGTTAGTTCGATTCCTGTAGATCTTTTTTATTTCGTGTTACTAAAAAGAAGAAGAAAAACCCACGTTCAGTCTGTTGGGCCGGCCCAGTACGACTAGAGTCAACAATCCCGAGTTTCGTCTTGCCACGTAGACAATCCCTGTTTGGGACGTTGTCAAGGTTTAAAATAGACCAGGACTAAATAGTTTTTTTAGAGAGGAGGCATCTGTCTGGCCTTGAACTGAGGCCCTTAGAGTACAAACAAGGTTCAAACAAGGTGCGGCAGATGTAGGATAAAGGGATACAAGGCCGTAGCCAGCAAAACGCGACGCAACGCGCAATGAAACAAAGAGCGCTAAATGCAATAGTAGTAGGTTGTCCTGGTAGCCGGAGACGTCCATGACTTTGCTCTCTCTCAAGAAGCTCGCCGAAGCTCAGTGCACCTTGCCCACACTCTTGTCACGAGCACCTCCACGTGCCCTCTGTCCTGAGATCTTGCCAACAGTTTTCATAGCTGTAGGAAAGACACTAGTTTGTATAATAGGTTAGCCGGATGTCGAATGAATTGCCCCTCAATCAAAGCTTTATTTCTAATGGTCCATAAGGCCCATGCTATGGCTCCAAAGCCCGGCCACGCGTTTATTCTATCTCGCCCAACCGTACTACTTGCAAGGGGTAGAAAGTTGTGAGGTCACCCGGGTTCCAAGTGCAGCCCGTTACCTCCCTAATTGCGCTCCATATAAATCGGGCCATAACACACCGAAACAGGATATGGTCCCAGTCCTCACTCTCACTGCACCAGACACATTTCCCATGACCCGGGCCCCTTCTGTTTTGTATTTGATCCCCGCTCATAATTCTATTGCGTGCCGCTTACCACAAGAAGATCTTGATCTTGGCCAGAAGTCGCGCCTTCCAAATGCCAGACACAAGTCGCATGGGGGGTATCCCTAAAAATTTCCTTGTATAGGGACCCGATGGAGAACTCGCCGATGGACCAAGGCGCCACATGACCTCATCCTGCCCAGAGGTAATGTGCACCTGCTGAAGGCTATCCCGCAATCTCTCCCATTCTATTATTTCTGGAGGCCCTAGGGGGTGACGGAAACGTGGTTCCCAATGATCATGGATCCACATATCCGCTACCCTAGCATTCGGATTGTCCGTAATGGCGTACAGAAGCAGATACATGTCCAGAAGCACATCCGAACCCAACCAATGGTCTGACTAGAAGCAAGCTAAGTTGCCATTATGGACATGGTATTTTGTTCCTAGCCGGAGGAGAGGGTGGACCTTTTTAATATCCCTCGCAAGTTGCGACAATTTAGCATTCCTCCGAAATTTGAGCCGCCCTAGAGTTAGATATTTCCTTACAAATATATCTAGCCATAAGCCCCCTTGGCCTTTAAGAATTTTCCATGCCCATTTAGTCATTAAGCACCAATTCATAATCTTAGTATTGATAACCCCCAAGCCTCCCACGTCCTTAGGTCGGCAAATATCCTCCCAACTTACCATATGGTACTTTTGTTTTTGATGCTCTTTTGCCCAAAAAAGCAAGATCTCGCCATATTCAGTTTATCATGCACCCCATCTTGAAGAAGATAAAAGGCCATAACAAACATAGGAATATTTGTTAGGCAATCATTTACCAAGAACAACCTCCCTCCTGACGCCAGCAGTTTACCCTGCCACAGCTCCACCCTTGTCGTCGTTTTATCAACTACCGGCTGGAACTCGGCCATTTGAAGGGCCCTTGCTGAGATTGGAATGCCTAAATATTTTAGAGGAATTGACCCCAACTCACAGTTCATCATATGTGCTGCCCGGAGTTGGGATTCCAAGTTCCCTCCCGTGACAAAGGCTTCACTCTTATCAAAATTGATTTTAAGGCCCGACATCTCCTCGAAACACATAAGTAGGAATTTTAAGTTAATATTCTCCCTCTCATAATTCTTAATGAAAATTAGAGTATCATCCACATACTACAAATGAGATATCCCTCCAGGAATGATATTGGATGCTACCCCGGATATGTGTTTCGCGGGCTTAACACGATCAAGGATGCCAGCCAAGGCATCGGTGATGATATTAAACAAAAGGGGGGAGATAGGGTCGCCTTGACGAACTCCACGTTTATTCCTAATGTAGGATCCTATGTGGCCATTAATGTTAACTACAGTCTGGCCCCCTCTCACAAGCTGGCACATCCAACTGGTCCATAATGGGTCAAATCCCTTCTCTCGAAGAACCTCCTCAATGAACTCCCATCTCACCCTATCGTATGCTTTCTCAAAGTCAATCTTTAGGATAAACAACTCTTCCTTAAATGTCCAAATCTCATGGAGCACTTCATGTAACACAACCACACCATCTAGAATACTTCGCCCTCTAATAAAGGATGTTTGGGCTTGGCCAATCACCTTATGTGCAACCGGAGCAAGCCGTGACGCAAACCCTTTAGCAAAAAGCCTAAAGCTCACATTCATAAGGGTAAGAGGGCGGTATTGCCTGATATTGTCCGCACCCTGGCCCTTCGGATTAAGTGCTAGCACCCCATAATTTAGCCGCTTCACATTGATCCTCCCCGAGGTAAATTCATGCACTAGGTTTACAAATTGGGGTCCCACGAGGCTACAGAATTTCTTATAGAATGCTACCGGGAACCCATCCGGGCTAGGGGCCTTGTTAGTCCGCATAGCCTTGAGATTACGAGATATTTCTTCAAGAAAAAATGGCTGGATAAGCGCTTGGTTATCACTTAAGGACACTCTCCTTGGGCCGACCCACGTATTCAGGCCCAACGATGTCGCACCCCTAGAGGTGGACCCTAGTAATTCCCTATAAAACCCATCAATGTGTGCCTGAAGGTCTGCGCTCCCT